GTTTGTGCTCCGTTATTCGCGAGCTAAGTCGTTGCCCGGTCTGCTCTGTATAGTGGCAAGAACAGTCGCGACATGGCACCTGACAAACAACACCAGACTGCTCACATACCTCCAGTGGGTCTTTTATATGCATGACTCGCGAACGTGTGGTAACTGTCGGACGATGAGAAATACCCACGCCGAGCTCTGTAGCGATACGTTCGGTTGCTTCTGACACATTTTTTAGTGTACAGTAGAGGGTGCCAGAACGTTGGTGGCTCTCCTTTTGTTTCCCGTGGGCGCGTACGGAGGCAAATAGAAAAAGATTCATAGTCCTTTTGCACGATATAACCATCGGAATCCTGTTGAAACGGTAACAAACTGAGAAACATTGATTGCTTTTTTGCCGATGTGATCATCGGAGTAACAAACAATTCTGTCCGTCAATTATTGTAACGGAAATACACAAGGTGGAAATATGCGTCACCCATTGTTGTAATTTTCGAGGAACAATCTCATCTGCGTCTCCAATGTTGTAATTGTGACTTCTAGCTGTGTCCGCGTCGAATTACGCCCTTTGGAATCCCCAAGGAGTTGCACTGGAAGCCACCCGGAGGAGAGTTTATTGTGTACAAAACCCACAGTTACTGTCTAGGATGGCTGTTGTCACTGGCGTAAAGCCAGCGCGCTGAATGATCCGCCTCTGGGCGAAGGTCAGCAATCGGACGGACTGGCGGTGTCCTTTCCTGATTGCCAACATTAAACTGTCCTCGTTTTCTTTCTTTTTTTCAGGACTGCTTCTTGTCCTCTTGGGTAGCCTTGCAACGGCCGCGCAGATGATTGTGGAGGAAGTATTTCTGAAGAAACACGGTTTTCACGCCCTGCACGTGGTCGGCATGGAGGGATTCTTTGGAATGTTCGTCATGGGTTTCGTAAGTTGTCCTCTCTACACCGCCAGGTGGAGTTCTACAGACACATCTCTTTGATGGCTTTCAGGGTCAACTTGCCACCGTACCAACTCTTCCATGCGGTCATTTACTGCTGCTGCCCTCACACAGCCTTTCTGATGAATACTAAAAAGCAGGATTTAGAAATTTTCCCCTCAGCGTCGATTTTAACAGAGCCTATAGTGGCACTCTTTAATGAACGTTGACGGACCGCTAACGAAACTCACTTATCCCGCTGTGCCTTGGGACTCATTTCGTTCCGTTAGCGGTCAGTGAACGTTCATCAACGATGGTCAATAGCTCCCGACCTAAACCGGCAAGACAGCGACCTGAATCAATGGTTAGGGCGTTAGACTCTGATCAAAAGGTCGCGTGTTCGAGCCGTGCGTGGTGCAGCACTTGGGGCTGGGTATCACTAGCTGACGACGGCTAGTAAGCCAGCCTCCCTTGTCTTGGCCGGAGGTACGATCTAAAGTCTATAGTTTTGAAGTTGAGTTCACGCCAAATGTTCAGCTGTCGGCCCTGCTTATCTCTATCCGCCCGACCGATTGCTCCGTTCTGAGCCGATGTTAGCCTTCTGCGGAGCGCTTGTTATCAGAGGCAGCTGCAAGAATCCTGAAACCATTCGGGATCGGTGTGGCTCATAGGCCGGCGTCAACCGTCAGACAGCAGCTCATGAGGCA